ACGAGTCACATGACGTTTACCTAAGTAGACGTTTATCTAGACTGTTGTCACTCGCGTAACAGCAAAACATTTGCCCATTTAGCGAAAACTGTCTTACAGGTAATGCAAATAAAGAAGAGAAAAACATTTGGCCTCTTCCGTTTCTTTTTTCATTGTATTAACTAGTCCAATAATTTACTAATTATTAATCTATCGAATAAATCAGTGTCGATTGCATGCATTTAATAAAAATTTAGTATATTATTAATTTTATTTATTTGTTATGCGAAATTGTAATGTAGTTCATCTATCATTTGCCATTATACCATTCTTTTCTATTCTTATCACTCCATTTAGTCATTCTCGAGTGGGCGAGTATTTCCTTACACCGCGAATCATTTGTCGAGCTAGAAAATGTGTTCTTAGGTGGCGGGATATCCGTTCAAGTGAGGTCTGCTAATGGGCTAATGTTGTTAAGGTTATATTTTGTCAACCGGACTCTCTCACAATGAAAAAGAAAAAAAAATACTAACCATCGTCACCAAGAACGTTTTTTTTTTGTCTTTCGTGACTGACTTCTCGAGGCCTTGTATTTGCTCAACAATTTGCCTTCTGTTTGAAGTCTTGAAGTTCGTATCAAAATATACAAACGTACATTTTCTCTGACCGGTCAAGCTGCAACGAAACTGCGGCAATAGGAATATTTCGCGTTTCTTATTCGCAAGTCCGAAAAGCGATAAGTAAATTTGTCTCAATTTTACGAAGAAATTATCGTGCTGCAGGAACGAAACTGAGAAATCGACCTTCCGATTACAAGAACAATCTTTCTGACGGCTAGACATCTTCGCAAACAGATCAGACCTCCTTCGATAAACTGAAATGTTGACAAATACGAAGCAATAGTTCAATGTCTAAAATTACCATAAGTGTCCATATATTTACGCTCCGGTGGCAAAGTCTCGCTGTAACATTTCGGATGATCAAAAATTCGAAAATTGCCTTGCAATCGATATAACGACAATAATTTTAGCTAATTTCTCGAATGGCGAAATCTCGATGAAAATCACTATCCGACGATTAAGAGGAAAATACGCTCGTGGCGTGTAAGCTCGATAGCGCGGAATTCTCCGTGAAGTGAAGCGATGGATGCGAGCGCAGAAGCGAGTAATTAAATTGACCGTAATACCGTAGGCTATCCATAGTCAATCCGTCAATTTCGCGATTCGCAGGAACATTTTTCGCGATTCGCGCAGTATCGATGCGCCACGATATATACGCGATGTATGCGCGTGCGCGCGCGCGCGCGCGTCATTCCAAACGATTGATCACGATTGACGAACGCATCACGTGAAGCGTCACGCCGATTATACCAAACTTTCCTTTACTGTTGCAGTCATTCTTTCGCACTATTCACGCGTGTAATGTCAATAAAGAGATTCTCTCGCGTTTACTTTATGACTTTGCACGTTTTGCTTTCGCATGTGATTCGCGGTTGTTTTCGCCAAAATGCGTAATTACATTGCAAATGTCAAGCGAACATGCCAATCGTAGTAGCTGATAATTTTCGTTGCTTGTACACGTTCCTCCGTATTTTTATATGCTTTATTACTGACTAAACACTACCATTGCTTTAATCAACTATACGATTTCAGCTCGTATTGTTCTCGCGTAGCATTTCAACCGTCATACAAGATCAGTCATCATGAGACATCATCAGTCATTAATGTGTGAACATCTGGCAAGAACTCAATAGATACGTCTTCTCTGTTGGACCTGAGACCGGCAGCTCATTTTTTTTTCTTTTGTTTCTTTTTTTTTTTTTTTTTTT